TACATTCATAAGTAATGAGAGAGGAGTTGAAGTTCACGAATTACCACAGTTGATCTAAATGTTGTTAGAAATGTTGAAGTAGTAAGAAGTAGAGCTAGTATCAAGATGCGCAGAAAAGGAAAGGAAAGCAAGCAGTTCTTTTATGGATAAAATTTTAACTACAGTGTTTGTATTCCCAGGTAGAAAACGCTCTTCCAAATGTAATGGAGTCAGCTTTCTATTTTGAACAAGCCGGAGTTTCTTTGGGCACAGATGAGACTTACCGTATATTTCTTGCCCTCAAGCAACTCACTGACACCCACCCAATCCACAGATGTCGTTTCTGGGGCAAGATCCTGGGTCTGGAAATGAATTACATTGTAGCTGAAGTGGAATTTCGAGAGGGAGAAGATGAAGAGGAGGTGGAAGAGGAAGATGTAGCTGAAGAGAAGGACAATGGAGAAAGTGAAGCTGAAGATGAGGAACACGAATTACCAAAGTTGTTTTACAAAATCCCACAGGCTGTTCCAAAAGAAGAAAGTAGAACAGGAGTCAACAAATATGTCTATTTTGTTTGCAGTGAACCAGGAAGACCGTGGATTAAGTTACCATCTGTTACACCTCTACAAATTGTTATTGCAAGAAAAATCAAGAAATTTTTCACTGGGAGATTGGATGCTCCTGTCATAAGTTACCCACCTTTCCCAGGAAATGAGAGCAATTACTTAAGAGCACAAATAGCTAGAATTTCAGCAGGGACCCACGTCAGCCCTCTTGGATTCTATCAGTTTGGGGAGGAAGAAGGAGAAGAGGAGGAAGAAGCAGAAGGCCGGCGAGAGAGCTTTGAGGAAAACCCTGATTTCGAAGGCATCCCGGTGGTTGATCTAGTGGAATCGCTATCCAATTGGGTTCATCATGTACAATATATTCTCCCTCAGGTAGGTGCTTTGCAATTTTCAATCTATCACCCTACCAGCAAATATTTATTAAATTCTCTCGACAGTGCACAAAGATAAACAACATGAAGCCCATTAGACTCTCAAACCCAAACCCACTGCCAGCAAGTCGATTAGACAGGAAAAAAAAAAAAAAGTGAAAACACAGAGTTAATATATTATTGTCATATAATATGGATCCGAGATTTTCATATAGATTTTTATTTTCCAATAGAAAATCAAATAACTACTTCTATGGAATATTTGACAAGTGATATAAAAAGTGTGTGTATGTGTGTGCTGTGAAATTTCTCTTTTTATATGTTAAATATAAATGGGTGCATTAATTTTGGAAACAGTTATTTTTTTCATTCAATTTCTTTAACATAGGAGCTCTGGTGGCATAGTGGGTAAGGCATTTGGCTGCTAACCAGAAGGTCGATGATTCAAACCCACCAGCTGCTCCACAAGGGAAAGATGAGGCAGTCTACTTCAGTAAAGATTTATAGCCTTGGAGACCAGTGGGGGTCTCTGTGAGTCAGAATTGACTCAGTGGCAGTGGTTCTTTAACATATTGGTGTTAATGGCACTTTTATGACAAGAATAATAAAAGATTCTAAAAAAACAGAGCAAACTGTGCTATGTAACATTTATACAGCACCTATTGTGCCAGGTGCTGTTCTAGCCTTTTATATGTATTATTTCATTTAATTCTTATGACAACCCTATGAAAGATGTACTATTATTACCTTTATATTTGAGATGAGGAAATAGAGACAGTAATTAGGAAATGTGACAAAAGAAACTGATTAGCTAAAACAGCAAGGTCAGATGTGAGGCCAGGCAAAATACATCCAGAGTCCTCTTAACCATTCTGCTATATTGCCTTGTCCACAGGTAGAAGAATCTGCATTATACTTTGATCTAGAGAAGAGAAGTCCTTAGATATCTCTAGATAAGAGATAACTAAATGAAAAGTTATAACCCCCAAACCTCCATACCTAGCCTTGTTACCACATTTTTTACTTTATTGTTATTAAACTCATAATCATAACTATAGTACTTTACTTCCTTCATATAAACCATTTATTACAAACTGGCAAAATGCATTATTTTTTCTTTAAGGTACTGTTAGTTTTAAAATATAGATGTTTTTTAACTTCAAAAGTTGACAAATTTACCTAGATAGAAATAGCACTTGGTAAATGTGTGTTGGAGCTCTGGTGGTGTAGTGCCTAAGGCATTTGACTGCTAACCAGAAGACTGGTGGTTCAAACCCACCAACCACTCCTTGGAAGGAAGATTGGACAATCTACTTCTGTAGTAATACTACCTCAGAAACCCAAGGAAGGGTCACTATGAGTCGGATCCAACTCGACGGCAGTGAGTTTGTTTTTTTTCTTTTTTTAAAAATGTGTGTTGAATGAATGAGTGAATGAATGAATAGTTTAAGTTCCTACACAATGGGACCTTTGCTTGAATCATGCCAGTAATTGTTTTTAACACTAGTGAATACCCTGAGATATTAAAGTCTTCATAAAAATTAAATATTGCAATATTCATTCCCAGGGTCGCTGTAATTGGTTCAACCCCATACAAAAAAGTGAAGAAGAAGAAGAGCAAGAGGATGAAGAAAAAGAAGAAGAAGAAAAAGAAGAGCCTGACTACATCGAACAGGAAGTGGGGCCTCCCCTTCTGACACCAATCTCAGAAGATTTAGGTAATTGTGTATAACCAAAAACATACAAACACACATAGCATATAATATAAAACCAAAAACCAAGTCCATTGCCATTTAATTGAATTCAGATTCACAGTGACCCTATAGGGCAGAGTAGAATTGCCCATAGGGTCTCCAAGGCTATAAAGCTTTACAGAAGCAGACTGCCACATCTTTCTCTCATGGGGCAGCTGGTGGGTTCGAATGGCCAAACTTTTTGATAGACACTGCACCACCAGGGCTAGATAACATACTATGTGTATTTTATGATAGATATATAGAAATTGGAAAGCTCTAAAAAGTGAGCAAGAGCCAAGATTCCATCCCATTTCTCCTTCATGTGTTCTGAGATGGTGGTTGTTGTTAAGTGCTGTCGAGTCAGACCTGACTCATAGCGACCCCTCCTTGGGTTTCTGAGGCGGTATCACTACGGAAGTAGATTGCCCAAACTTCCTTCCATCTGAGATGGTGGGGAGTCCTATATTTAGCTAGCCACACCAGCTTTCTTGGACACAGGTTGAAGGAATGACTCAGGGAGAAACTTAATAAAGCTGGTTGTGGCTCTTACTGGAAATGCTGATGGTTATTTTGTGTATCATTCTTGTCTTGCATTCTACAGGCCATAGATACTAGTTAAAGTAAAATATCATAGGAGACACTATGTTTTATCTATGCTGACTCCATGTTTTGTTTCTTCCTATTCAGTTTTAGGTTATTTTTGCATGCTCTCTTTCATAATAATGATTTGACCCTTCATTTGGTCATCACATATTACTCTCCCCATCCAAATTTCATTGTTCCAGAACAATGCCATATAATATTCTGATTTTATGTTAAGCTGTTGATGTTTTAACTTTTTCATGTCCTGTGTGTTATGCATGTGTGATTCTTTTTTTGTTGTTGTTAAAAAAAAAAAAAAAAAAAAAAATTAAAATAATATAAAAATAACTTCTTTTTGGCACAAATCTGTGTTTTAAATCTTGTTTGTCAGACATTAAGCTTTTAATTTTTTTTTTTTTTTTGGTTTACAGAGGTTCAGAACACACCCCCCTGGACAGCACGTCTATCCTCGAATCTCATTCCTCAATATGCTATTGCAGTCCTTAGATCTAACCTTTGGCCTGGAGCATATGCCTTTTCCAATGGCAAGTAAGTATCCGCTCACTTACAAAGCCATTATTTTAATTATATAAGCTCTGGAAATTATAAATTATCACTAGAATGTTCACCTACTCTCCTTTTCCTCTTTGCTATGTCAGGTATGGCATAAAACTTTCTCAAACAGTATCTGTATTATACAATAAAGCATGAAATTCAGGAAGTTAGGGTAATTTATACTTCTGCACTTTCATCTGAATTACCCAGTTAATTAAGCTAAAATATATTGTTTTTTCCCTTTATGGTTATTTGACCTGTTCATTCACCTCAGTGGATTTGTGGAGGTAACTCTAAGAAGTGTTTAGCTTAAATCTCAGATCATTTTTGTTAGATATTTTGATAAAAAATAATTAAAATATGATTTAGGCTATCACTGTGAAGGGAATTAGGATCAAGAGGATATTAAATACACTTTTATCTCTTGCCTAAAACACAAACTATTTTGTCTTACGCTTCCATATGTCTTACCTAATAACCCAGACAAGAGTTTGCTGGGTTAATAACTTGTTATTTGCCGTCAAGTCGGACCCAACTCACAGCGACCCCTCCTTGGGTTTCTGAGGCAGTATCACTACAGTAGATTGCCCAACCTTCCTTCCAGGGAGCAGCTGGTGGGTTTGAACTGCCGGCCTTCTGGTTAGTAGTCAAGTGCCTTAGGCACTATGCTACTAGAGCCCCTGGGTTAATAATTTAAAAATAAATAAATAAATAAATTTAACTCTGTGGAAGGAATGCCTTTTTAATTCTTCAGTACTATTGCTCTCCCTCTTTGTTTCTTCTTCTTCTTCCTTGAAAATAGATGATTGTAAAAGGCCTTTTATTTGTGGTCTAGTGGTGCCTAAGGCATTTGACTGCTAACCAGAAGGCTGGCAGTTCAAACCCAGCAGCCACTCCTCGGAAGGAAGATTAGATGATCTAGTTCCGTAGTGATACTGCCTTGGAAACACAAGGAGGGGTCACTATGAGTTGGATCTGACTCGAAGGCAGTGAGTTTGGTTTCTTGGCTGGTAGGGTACATTTTGACAGGAGCTGTCCCCATGGTTTTTCTTAATCAGCTTAAGCAGTTAAAAACAAACTAACTCCCTGTGGTCAAGAATTTTTGAGAGATATTTCACCTATAAACAGATTGTTTTTAAGACTTATGGGACTATGGTAAATTTGAAGTACTTTAGAAAGATCAGTTTTTCTTAGCAAAAAAATGTAGTGATCATCAACATTTTTTTTTTTTAACTTATAGAAAGTTTGAAAATTTCTACATAGGCTGGGGTCATAAGTATAGTCCAGGCAACTATACACCACCACTTCCACCACCAGTTTCTCAAGAGTATCCCAGTGGACCGGAAATCACAGAAATGGATGACCCAAGTGTGGAAGAGGAACAGGTTTTCAGGGCTGCACAAGAAGCAGCTATACTTGCAGCTGAGAAAAATGAAGAAACTGAAGATGAAGATGAAGATGAGGATGAGGATGAAGACGATTAACAAGGGTAAAATTAGCTGAGTTTTATGTGGGACTTTCTCATATACACACACACACTCGTACACACACACACACACACACTCATACACACACCTTATGTGGAATTCATTTTATATGTTATTGTTGTTGTTATGTGCCGTCGAGTCAGACCCAACTCATAGCGACCCCTCCTTGGGTTTCCGAGGCAGTATTGCTACGGAAGTAGATTGCCCAGTCTTCCTTCCGAGGAGTGGCTGGTGGGTTTGAACCACCGGCCTTCTGGTTAGTAGTCAAGTGCCTTAGGCACTATGCTACCAGAGCTCCTTGTAATTATATAAGGTATGTAATATACAATTATATATTACATATATATAATTAGGTGTCATATATAAACAACACAACAATATAATTATATATACTCATGGGCAGGGAGTTCTGGTGGTGTAGTGCCTAAGTTATTTGACTGCTAACCAGGCTAGCAGTTCAAACCCACCAGCCACTCCTTGGAAGGAAGGTTGGGCAATCTATTTCCATAGCAATACTGTCTCAGAAACCCAAGGAGGAGTGGCTATGGGTCAGATCCGACTCAACGGCAGTGCATCGTTTTTTATACTCATGCAGAATTTTATTCCTTAAAAATGTCAAACTTGGAATTTCATATTTGAAACTACTGTGTTGATGGATTTTCTCAAGCTACAGCTATGGCATATGTACTTGTGTATTCTTATGTTTTAAAAATATTTTTTAAAAAGTCTCGTTTAATTTCTAACATTGATAAATATTAAACGCTAAAATTCACACAAGCTTCTTGGTGACTTCCGCATTTTTTAGGTGTCAAGAAGTACCAAGGCCAAAAATATTAATAACCACTGACCTACAGCATCTATTCTTAACCAGTGATACTGTGTGCAAATATTGTATGTGCATGTTTTAATGTTTTTCTTCTCCCTGGGGTGAGGGTTCCTAATTCCATCACCTACCCAAAGATTATGGGAACACTCAAACTTTTATTCTTTTACTTCTCCCAGAACTTTCTTAATCTGACTCCTTTATCCTGTAGAAATTGGTTTGAACTGATTAAAGAAAAATAGTTTGCTGGTGGTTAGCTGGGATATCCAAGACTTCAGACTTATTTTTTCTACCACTGCTACTCTAAAACTAGTAATTATTTTCACTAACTCAAATGTATTTCTAAGGTTTGTATTTGCCAGGCACCCTGAGGCTACCATTAAAAACTACACATCACCTCAGAGCTCATCAAGCTTATGTTCAAGGAGGGAATATAAAAAAGGTAAATGGAATTAGAATAGATTGTAACTTAGCAAGTATTGTGATACAAATATTACTGAGCATCATACAAGTGTTTCTCAAACTCTGTGAAGGGCCAATTTAAAAAAAAAAAAATTGCAATTCATTAGTTACTTTTTAAAAAAAATATATGAATAAAAAATTGTCACAGCAACTCTCAATTTCTCTAACAGACTTACAGTGCAACAGACAGGCAAACAATTCACGAGCCACTGATCTACACTTGGAGTGATATTGCTGTTAAACACTTAGAAGGTACACATAATCCAGGCTTGAACAGCTCAGGAAGCACTTCTAAGAGTGACAGGTAGAGTGCTATGGGAAGAAGTGTTCTAGGTAGCAAACACCAGCTGTATGTTAAAAAAGGACTTTTGGCTGAAAGAAGTGGAATTGTGAAAGGAGTAGTGAGAGATAAAACTGGAGAGATAAGCTGGGGCCAGATTATGGAGGATGTTTGGATTTTATCCATGTGCAATGAAGAGGATTACACGAGAAAGCCACAAAATCACATCTGTATCTTAGAGCATTTGGACTTTAGTGTGGAAGATGGATTGACAGAGAATCAAGACCTGAGGTAGGAATACGAGTTAGGAGATAAAATTAGAGAATTTAGGTTAAGAGAGAATGGTGGCATGAATAAATGCACGAGGATATGAAGTAGAAACTGGCAGTACTATTTCACTCTTGAAGTACAGCTTGCGAGTTTTTACTGGAGCATCTATAATTTATAAAACTTCAGTCAAGTAAGGTTCTTATTCGTCATGGAGTAGTAGACACTTGATTTTCTTTTTTGTTGCTGAGTATCCATTTACTTATCTGCCCTGATATCCTTTTGAGGAGCTGCTTATGTCCCATACAGGTACAGTCTCATACCCTCTCTGGAACCTGCATGTTGAGCAGGCAGGCATTCTACCTCATCTCCGAACCAAACTGTTCCTGCTATAAATTAGATGGTTTTTCAGCCTCTTGAGCTGTTTGGTTCTAGTCCAGTCTAGTTACCGGTTGATTTTTGTGAGCTTCTGATAATCTTTCAATGAATTCCCTTCTGTTTGTTTGCCAGACAAGTATTCTTGCTTGCAACCAAAGAATATTAACTGATATACATAGCATATCCAGCACCTATCAATATCTATCTGAAAGTTCCTATCCTACAGGGCATATCAAACGTGAGATTATAAATAATTAAATATTTAAAATATTTAGGCAATTATCTAACAATATTTAACTATTTAGGATAATAAATAATAATAAATATTTATTTAACAAAAGCAAATCCCCTTTTATAGACCAATGTCTATTAAAAATCAAGGTAATTGTTGTAGCTGTGAAGAATACATTATACAACATTATGCATGTTCTTTAACTGAAGAAAGCAGAATGGTGTAATGGTTCAGATCCTGGATTATGATTATTTTCTAACAATATTTCCTGGGCAAAATACTAAATCTTGGCACTTCATCTTCTTCTTCAAAAGAATAATAGTACTTGTCTCACAGGGCTATTTGGAAGGTTAAACTAATCAATATATAATGCTAAGAGGAGCACCTAACATAATTAAAGACTTAATAAATATTAGCTTATGGCTATAACAGAAAATCTGTTTCTGAAACAATGAAAAAGAAAACCAAACACTAACAGTGCAAAGCAAGATATTTTATTGAAATCATTATTAAACAAAGTACTACATTTATAATTTACTTAATTCAGACACTTTAGAAAATGAAATTATATTGCAAATTGAATACTTAACAGAACTGAGATTCAGATGTTGTACTAAGCATTTAATGAATTTGGAAGACAAAGTATAATTCAACAGTCATCAAAATGCTCAATTCTTCAAGGAATCTTCTCTGCAGTAAAGACTTGAGAAGCTTGTCTCCTGGCCTTGAAAAGAAATTTTAGAAAACTGTTAATTGTACGCTAATTTAAGTCAAAGAATTAGAAAATGTGCTAATTAGCATTTTAATATTTTTAAAAATAAGATCTGAGATCAATAAAATTCTTAAAGTTATAAATTCAAACTTATGATATTAGGAATATACATTTAATTAAGCCAAGCCATAAAGAAATTAAAAGGAAATCCAGAAAAAGACAAAACAAAATTAAATTAAAATGTCATTTTTTATGGAATCATGAGCCAAAAGTAAAAATGCTAGCTCAATGACAGAGAGAGTCAGAGGGGAAAAATAGAAAAGGAAAGCTAGAAAGAGAGGGCTATGAGCAGTGAGAAACATATCCTTCAAGAAAAACCCTTATTATAGTGCCTATGGCATTCGACTGCTAACTAGAAGGCTAGCAGCTCAAACTCACCAGCCACTCCTCAGAAGGAAGGTTAGGCAATCTACTTCAGTAATGATACCACCTCGGAAACCCAAGGAGGGGTCGCTGTGAGTTGGATCTGACTTGACGGCAGTGAATTTGTTTGGTTTGGTTTATCACCTTAAAAATGGCACTACAAAAACTTTAAAATTGTGGTGCTATTTTCACCACTTTACTTATAAATCAAGGTATATTAACCCAGGCTAAATTAAAGTTAAACCAGGTTGAGAGTACAAGGATTAAACAGTAGAGCACTAAGAGTATATAATGATGTTAACTTAATTATAACATATTAAAATGTGAAAAGAATTTAAGAATAGAGCTACTATATAGATTTTTGTTATTTAAATGAATTTCATTAGGAGGTATTTTCTAAAATAAATCCCATAATTAAATAAGTACTCCAACATCTAGAACAAGGTCTAGACTAAGTAGATGCTAAAGAAATATTTATAGTAGAAATGTCTATGGCAAATCATGACACTCAGCTAGAATTAAAACTATATATTTGAAAACATTTGCTCCCCTATGTAATTTTTCACTTGTATGATAATCCTAACTAATTTAAACCGAAATATGATGAATGAAAAATAAAATGCAGTTATTTTGGAATACTTTAAAATATCAAATTTGTTCTGAAATTCCTACATTAAAATGAAATGTGGTTATCATTTAGAAGAAAAAACACATTTCAAAAACTAGATATAAAAACTAACCAAATAAATGTAAAATTAATATTTTGTCCTTATTTAAAGCTGCAAATTCCCATTTGATCTGCAGATTAAGAAGTCCTCCAATCTTTGCTGAGTTCCCACAATACATAAAGCACTGTGAAAAAGGTCAGAATAACTTTAAGACATAAATGGTGAAAAAAATAAGTAACTGAAAAATAAACAAATACAAAGGCCTGAAGACAACATGAAAAAACAATGAAGTATGTTAAATTAATTTTTTTTTATTTTTCAAAATGCAGTATCTTATTTTTTAAATAAATGAAAAAGTGCTCCAACAAAAGCTTAGCAAATGTTAAACTATGAAGCTCTGTATCCACACAGAAGAGAGTAATAGAAGGCAGGGCTCTGGATGCAAACTGCCTGAAGTGGAGTCTTAACTCTGCTCCATAGTAACTGTGTAATTTTAGGAATTTAATAACCTCTCTGTGAGTTAGCATCTCCATCTGTAAAATGCCTACTTTGCAAGGCTGTTGTGTAGATTAAACCAATTAATACACATAAATCCTCAGAACAGTGCCTAGCACAGAGTAACTGCTATTTCTATTATTAATGTTATTTCTATTATAATTACAATAACAATACTTATGATTCCTTCTCCACTTGACACATTGTTCTCTAAGTACTGATCTCTAAGTTCCGATTCTAATTGTCAAAGTCACAGCTATTCTCTATGACTCCAAAAATCAAACAG